TTTGTTTCAGGCTGCAAAGAGTATCAGACACGAACTTTGTGTGCTGCTGAGATTTCTTCCCCTGTTGCTCTGACCAGGCTGCCAAGGATACCAGCTCTCCATAACCACTCTTTCTCCAAATGGAAGTATTGAACCCAAATGGCTTTCACGCCTCACATGCCAAGTCTATGAATGCCAATTTGTCCTCCACTTCTGAATATGTATGAAATACCACACCTTATAGTGCAGAATCTGGTTTTCCAGTCCATTACTGAAGGATTGCATCACTCAGTTCAAAATTGAATTGTTGTCAGCAGAACTTAACGATAAGAAACAAGAGATAGGATGAAGCCAGGCAGATAAAGTTTTCTTCCTTTCACCTTTCCATGAACTACTGAAGATTCCTCCATCCAGCCTTCCAGAGAAGTCCACATGTTAAGGTAGTACATCTGCTGAGCAATATATATTACTCACAACAGCTGGTCATAAGCAGTAATCAGTATGGTAACCAATCATATCACATTGCTTCTGTGGTATTCTCTTTTGTGCTGCTGTAAAGGAATACTTGAGACTGAGTAATTTACTAAGAGAAGTTTATGTGTCTCACAGTTGTGAAGCCTGTAAAAGCATGGCACTAGCATCCGCTTAGCTTCTGGTGGGGCTTCAGGAAGCTTTTACTCATGGCAGAAAGCAAAGGGGTAGCATAAGTGTCCTATGGCAAGAGAGGGGAAAAGCAAAGAAGAGAGGGTGCCAGATTCTTTTTAACAATCAGCTGTTTCAGTAACTAATAGCACAAGGACTCACTAGTTACCATGGGACGAACTCCGAGCCATTCATAAGGGATCTGCCCCCATAACACAAACACCTCCCACAAGGCCCTATCCTCCACACTTGGGGTCACATTTCAACTTGAGATGTGGTGGGGACAAAGATCCAAACTGCATCAGCTTCAAATTCCTTCATTTCTCACTTTCCTTTCTCCTTACCCTACTTGCACATCCCACATAATTATTTATTCTGTTTTCTAGAGCTCTGTTTTCTAGAGAATCTGAAATTTAGCTAATAATATATTTACTTCCAGGAATCCATATATATTAGTTTCCTGTGCCTCCAATAACACATTATCACAAGCTCTACCACAGAAATTTACTCATTCATTAAGCTGTGGAGGCCAGAAATCCAAAATCAATGTGTTATCAGGCTTATACTGCCTCTGAAGGATCCAGGAGGGAATCTCTTCTTTGCCTCTCCCAGCTTCTGGTGCCTTCAGGGGTTCCTTGACCTATAGGCACACAACTCCAGTCTCTGCCTTTATGATGACATTGCCTCCTCCTCTTCAAAACTTCCTCTGTCTCTATCTTAGAAAGACACATGTGGTGGCATTTAGTGCTCACCAGAATAATCCAGGATAAACACTCCCTCTCAAGATCTTTAATTTAATCACATCCTTTGCCATACAAGGTGATATTCACAGGTCCCAGAATTAGTATGTGGACGTATCGTTTTGGAGGGCACTATTTAGCTCACTACATCATGAAAACAAAAATGATTTTGCTTCTAGTCACAAATCAATTAAATAATAGGAAGTGGAAGAGTTTTTCAATACTAGATAATTTTTGTAAATTTTGCAGATCATGATAGTCTTCTGGCAGCATAATTAGATATACATTTATTTCAACAAAATGCAAAAATCAAGCACAAGAAAAAGAAAATGAAACAATACAAAAGTTTTTATCCACTAAAACATTAGGGTCATATCAACTGCTCCAATATGTATACAGTAATACACAATGGCTGCCTCTGAAATGCAGAGTGTTTTGAAGTTGTTTGGAGAAAAATTGGTTTGGAGGAAAAGAAATTCTAATTTTTAAAGCAATTTTTAAAATGTAACTGCTTCAGGTTTTTCTTCTCCTTTATAGTGTTTTTCTTTACACAAAAAGGTTTTGGCTTTATTTTTGCCTTAAAAAAAAAAAGAAAGAAAGCTAGTATGAAGGGTTACTGTGTGTGCGGTGGCGTTGGGGTGTGGAAAAGATGAGGAAGTGGCAGGCTCTTCAAGTGAACAGCTGTGGTGTGCCTGAGCTGAGGGTGGCCGCTAATGTTACACTGTATAAGATCTCAGCATGAATTCCAGCTGTGATCACTACTCTCCTCTTCCATCTACAGTGTGTACAAAGAGAACTGTTATCATTTGCATATTTGAATTCTATATGTACTTTTATTTATTCGTGAGTATCTTCAATTTTTCTTCTTCAATTTTCCATATAAAAATAGGCTCCCTTCTCTGGGCTGGGGGCGATAATCCTGGTACAAAATAATATGACGTCTTTATATTTAAGGTTCTAAATATAATTCAGACCATGCTCATCTATCATTGTCTCATTTATCATTTATTCTTTGTATTGTAGTTACAATTATGACATCTAGGAGAAAAGCAGATTTTCTGACTCCCAAATACCTCTGGGTTATTCCTTGCTCACTGAGCAGTTATAAATAAAGTACGTTTAACTCATTGGGTTGTAGGTTTCCGCTATGCAATTTTCAATTTACAGGTATAAGCCAGTTATCATTAGAGGCTGATAACAAACTGTGCGAGCAGAGTCATTTAGGAAGAAAGTACTTCTATTCTGGACATCTTTATATTAATTCATAATTTAATAAATATATTTTATAACCTAAGTTTCACAAGTTACCTAAAATGACTGTGATTATAGTTAGCTTGCCGTTTTCTAACTCCTGGAACTCAAGTATCAACAAGTTTAATTTTATAAAACAAACATGTCTTTGTCTCTTAGCTCGTTGTTTTCATGCCGCAGCCCCACTGCACCTAAGTGCCCTGAACCAACCTTACACAGGTCATTATAATCAGTCTTCTCAATCCCCTTTGTAAATATTTGGATTACGTTGTTTCCAACAGAGTGCAAAACATTGCATATCACCGTTGGAGGCCCCAACTTCTTTGGCAAATGATGATATTTTATTACAATAGTCCTACCTTCAAAGAGGCCCCAACTTCTTTGGCAAATGATGATATTTTATTACAATAGTCCTACCTTCAAAGAGAGTTCTGGGAACCTGGAACATTTGGTGGTATACCTGGGCCAAGTATACAGTCGACCCCTGAACAACTGGAGGGTTAGGGCCACCAACTCCTGTGCTTTCAAATATCCACATACAACTTTTGACTCCCCAAAAACTTAACTACTATAGCCTACTATGACTGGAGTCTTATTGATAACATAAGCAATCAATTAACGTATATTTTATATGTTACATGTATTGCATACTGTGTCCTTAAAATAAGCTAGAGAAAAGAAAATGTTATTAAGAAAATTACAAGGGAGAGAAAATATATTTACTAAGTGAATGTGAATCATCATAAAGGTCTTCATTCTTGTCATCTTCATGTTGAGTAGGCTGAGGAGAAGGAGGAAAAGAAAGGGTTGGTTGGCTGTCTTGGGGTTGCCAAAGGTGGAGAAAAATCCATATATAAGTAAACAGCACAGTTCAAACCCATGTTGTTCAAGGGTCAACTGTATAGCTGTATGTTGATTTTGTTCAAGTGAATGTAAGCCATTGGAAGACAAGAATTATATCTTTTTCAATTTCCAATTCACAGCAATGTTCTCTATATGATAGGTACTTAAATTATTAGTTAGTGGCCATGTGTTTGGGAAACACATAGGGAAGGTTGGTTAGAAACAAAAATTGGAAGATTTGATTTATTTCCTTATAAAACATATTAGTTAATGGGATTCCAAATTATGTATCACTCCTGGAAGACAATTTCTGACAATATTCCTCAAGTTTTTTTAATTGTTTATATCCTTTGACCTAAAAATAAATGTTATAAATAAATTCTAAGAAAATTAACAATGACAAAAGTACAAATGTGTAAAAATGTTGAGTTCAGCATTGTTTATAATAATAAAAACATTAGAAAAATACTTAAATTCCAATAAGGGACTGCTTATATTGTATACCATCAATGGATTACTGTATACTCAGAAAAAGAGACATATTTGTTGACATGGAGAGCAATTTAAGTTTTAAGTATTAAAGGTAGATGACTACAAAGCAAAGATTAACTTCCACAGTATGTGAGAAAATCAAGGCTTCATATGTAAAAACAGGATTAATTAATTCAATTTATAAAATCTATCATATCAACAGGCTAAAAAAGAAAAATTATATGACCATATCATAGACACAGAAAAAGCATTTGCTAAAAATACAACACTGCTTCAGGACAAAACTCTTAGCAAACTAGAAATAGACAGGAACGTCTCCAAGTTGATAAAGAATATCTACAAAAACCCTACAACCCACATTATATTTAAATGAGAGAAACTAGATTTTTTTCCTCCTAATGTCAGGAACAAGTCAAGGTTATCTCCTCTCACCTCTTTTATTCAACATTCTACTTAATGCAGTAACATAAGAAAAAAAAGATATAAAGATTGGGAAGGAAATAAAGCAGTCTTTGTTCACAGAAGATATGACCATGTAGAAAATTCCAAAGAATCAACAGAAATCTCCTGAACTAAACACAATTAAAGCAAAGTTGTGGGATAAAATGCTAATATGCAAAAGGCAATTGATTTCTTATATGCCAGCAATTAAAAACTAGAATCTGAAATTAAAATACAACATTTTTTACAATAACACCGAAATAAATAATTAATTAGATATGCATCTAATAAAATATGTACAAGATCTATATAAGAGAAACTACAAAACTTGGATTAAAAAATCAAGGAAGATCTAAATAAATGAAAAGATACCCCATGTTCATAGATAGAAAGAATCAATATTGTTAATATGTCAGTTCTTCCCAAAATGATCTATAGATTCCACACAATCTTAATGAAAAGCCCAGCAGGTTATTTTATGAATATTGACAAACTGATTCTAAAGTTTATATAGAAATGCAAAGAACAAAGAACCCAGAATAGCCATAACAATATTGAAGAAGAAAAAATTCAGAGGCCCAACACTATCTGACTCAGTATATTACTATATAGGAATATACAGTTAGATATATACACACTAAGAACTCCTATAAAGCTAAAGTATGGTATTGACAAAAAAATTGCTGAAACGACTGTACATTCTCACGCAAAAATATGAATGTAGATACAGAACTTACACCCATTTCAAAAACTAACTCATACACCTAAATGTAAACACAAACCAGTTTCTGTAAATTGAAGATTGCTCTAATAAAATAAAGTTTATTAATTTTTTTTGAAAAATTAAGACCTGAATTTAGATGTTTCAAAGGCATGATATCTTAGTGAGGAGATTTATTTCAGCTTTAATGGTGAGATTTAAAATTAAAGGACAACCATTTATTTTGAAAGAGAGGAAATTAGAATTTCCAGTTCATATAAATTAACTTAACATTTCTTACTATAAACTGCTGGAAACTTAAACAAAATGTACAAAACAACTGTTTTCAAACATTGGACAACAGGCAGAGTAGGTCTCTCTTCCCAGGGAGAAAGGAAGAAAAGGAAGTAAATGCTAAGGTTACCCTGGCTCTCTGCCTAGGGAACTTTCTAAACCACAAGGCAGGAAAAAAGGACCCAAGCAGGCTGGGCGCGGTGGCTCAAGCCTGTAATCCCAGTACTTTGGGAAGCCAAGGCGGGTGGATCACGAGGTCAAGAGATCGAGACCATCCTGGTCAACACGGTGAAACCCCGTCTCTACTAAAAAAATACAAAAAATTAGCTGGGCATGGTGGCGCGTGCCTGTAACCCCAGCTACTTGGGAGGCTGAGGCAGGAGAATTGCCTGAACCCAGGAGGCGGACGTTGCGGTGAGCCGAGATCACACCATTGCACTCCAGCCTGGGTAACAAGAGCGAAACCCCGTTCCCCCCGCCCAAAAAAAAAAAAAAAAAGGACCCAAGCAAAGTATGACAAGATGGCTGAGTTGAGGAGATTGATCGGAGTTTGAGAAGTCTGAAGCAGCTGGAATTGCAGAGCAAAATCATGGAGATGGGGGAGACACGCAGAAAAAGCACTCCATAAATATGCATGGGGTTTCCTTTAGTCTGTTGCTGAATTCTAAAGTGTATGTGTGGAGTAAAACTCCACAAGGCCTGACAAAGATAAACTGAACAATTCCCTCAACTCACAGACGACTGGGAGACATCTGAGTTCAGATTACTCAAAGTAGAAACTTCACTAAACTACCGGAGCATTCTGGGGAGATCCCACAGTGATCCCAATTTAGAAATATGGCTAGCTTAATAATTCTCAGCTGGGAGTAGTGGCTCACGCCTGTAATCCCAACACTTTGTAAGGCCTAGGGAGATCACCTGAGGTCAGCAGCTCAAGACCAGCCTGGCCAAAATGGTAAAACACTGTCTCTACTAAAAAAAAATACAAAAATTAGCCGGGCACAGTGGCGGTCACCTGTAATCCCAACTACTCAGAAGGCTGAAGCAGAAGAATCCCTTGAACCCAGGAGGTGGAGGCTGCAGTGAGCTGAGATCACACAAAACTCCATCTCAAACGAAAAAATAATAATACTTCTCTATTACAGTTTACTCCAGACCCACCCTAAGATTTTTTTTTAAGTGTAAAAAAATCAAGCTAGTTTGTAAAAAACTTAACTGACTGTTGAAATGAAGTTCACACTCTCTAAAGACAGACCACAAAATGCACATATACAACAACTTGATATTCAAAATATGCAACATTCAATTAAAAAAAACTGGTGTTCTATGCCACTGTAGGATGGCTACTGTTAACAATAATATATAGTTTCAAAAAGCTAGAAGGATGCTAATGAACATTCTCAAGACAAAGAAATGATAAATGTTTGAGATGATAGATATGCTAATGACACTGATTTGATCACTATATATTACATGCATTCTAAATATCACTATGTACCCCCATGAATATGTACAGTTATTAACTGTCAATATTTATAAATGTCAACTGTCAATAACTGTACATATTATTTATTGTGAGTAATATTTGTTGTGAGTATTGTTGTCAATAATTATACATATTCATGATTAAAAAATAAAAATTTTTAAAAACCTAGAAGACTAGATATGCAAAGAAACAGAAAAACGTTTCATGGCCAGGAGGAAAATTAAGTCATTAGAACCAGACCCATAATTGACAATTCAGATGAAATTAACAAAGACATTAAATAGCTATTATAAATATGTTCAAGGATTTATAGGAAAGCATTAACATAATGAGGAGATAAATAAAAAATATATAAAAAGAACTAAGCAGAATTTGTAAAGATGAAAAAAGTCTCAAAAATGTCACAGAATGAGATTTACAGCCGATTATATACTACAGAAGAATAGGTCAGTAAACTTGAATGCATAGCAATTAAGAACAGAAAGAAATAGCATAGAGAAAAGAAAGATACAAAACAAACAGCATCAGTGACATGTGGGGTAATATTAAGCTTCTAATATGTTTGTAATTTTAGTTCCAGAAGGAGGCAGTCAGCAAAATATTTGGAGAAACACCAACAGAAATCTTTTCAAATTTGATGAAAAACATAGAACCAGAGATCCAAGAACCTCAAAGAACCCTGAGCAGGAAAAACATCAAAAGACTCACAACAAACCACATCACAATCAAATTGTTGAAATCCAGTGATGAAAAGAAAATCTTAGGAAGAGCCAAAGAAAAAAACATACACTACTACATAGAAAGCAATAAGCATAAGAATGATCAGACTTCTGAAAAATAATGCAAGCCAAAATAGAATGGAATCCTGAAAGGGCTAAAAGAAAAATAAAACTTTCAACCTAGAATGAGATATCCCGTGAAATATTCTTCAAAAAGGAAGATTAAGACTTTTTCAGGGAAACAAAAGCTGAGACAGTGTGTCACCAACAGACAGGCATTAAAAGGAAGTTCTTCAGGCTAAAAGAAAAGTGATGTCAGGTAGAAATTCAGATCTATACAAAGGAATTGTGATCCCTAGAAATAGTAAATATTTGGGTAAAGACTAATCTATAGTGGCATTGATTGCTGGGCATAGACGGAGGAGAGACTGCAAATGAGTGTAAGAAAACATTTGGGACAACAGGTATGTTCATTATCTTGATTGTAGTGAAGGTTCCATAGGTATGTATGTCAAAACCCATAAAATTGTACACTCTATATATGCAATTTACATTAGTTACAGCATAAAAAGCTGTAACAAAATAAAAATAAGGAGAGTCAATTTACTATGGAACATTTGACTTTGAGGAAACATGTTATCATGATCAATAGGAAAAATTCTAACTACTCCTAAAATATACCACCACAACAGTCTCATGTTGTAACAACCTGGAAATGGCCAAAAAAGAGTATTTAAGCATAACATCTGGTCTCCTAGATCTGTAGAAATTATTATGAAGTGAAAATTTCTACTACATGTTGCTAAATTCAAGTCAATTCTCCATCCTCACCATATGTGAGCTCTTAGCAGCACTTGACAAGTCAATCATTCCCCTCTCCTGGAAAGGTTATCTTCATTTGGCTTCCATATTTACCTTTACTTCACTGACTACTTCTCCTTAGCCTCCTTTGTTTTGGTCAATCTAATATCTAAAGGGCGGAATGCCCTGGTTCTTGGGCCATTCTCTTTATGTAACCCACCTCTTTGGTTGCCTCATCCAGTATTATTGCTTTAAATATAAACAAAATACTGATAACTTCCAATTTATATGTCCAGTCTGGACCTCATCAAGAGGACATATGCAAAGGAATTACTCTGCATCTCCATTATTCTTTTTAATAGAGATTTCAAACAACATTCCCCTAAATAAAAACCCTGATGTCTCTCCTCTTTCCCAAGTGCTCTACTCAATTTTCCTCATTTTAGTAAATTTCAATTCATTGTTCCAGTTGCTAACAACACATATCTTGCTTTATCCCTTACCCAATCTGTCAGGAAATCCCCTTGACTCCACTATCAAATACATCCTGTATCTAACAACTCACTACCTTTATAGCACCATCATCTGTCACTCAGATTGTTACAATAGCCTCCTAACTAGCTTTCTTGTTTTTGCCAATGACCCTTCAATCTATCATCAATACACTGAGCATAAAAATGTACATGATTTACCTTATATCTTTGTCCTGGTCTGCTATTCCTTCTATTCTTCCATTTTCCCAAAATTCCATTTCAGTCGCATTGACCTACTAGCTGTTTTCAGACACATCAAAAACACTCATTTCAGGGGCTTTGCCCTTTCTCCAGGTATCTGCATTTTTCTTTTTGTGTCTGTTTTGTTTTTGCTTATCACCCTTTATCAATTCTCAGTCAAATCTTTTCTGATGTTTCTATTTAAAACTGGAGCCAGATAATAGGAGATTAAGATATCCAATAGGAGGCGGTGAGGAAGGAGACCCCTTCCTCTTAAGCTTCTAAGGCCATTTCCCCTTTAGCCATCTACATTGCATTTCAAAACGAGAAGTTAAAAGTAGCCAGAGGAGGTCAGTGGAAGTTGTGCCCCCAGCCAGGTTAGGAATTAACCCCCCTACTGCGAACCACAACCCATGGACATGGTATGGAGGAATTTTCCCCAGAAGGCACTGTTTTTGCTCAACTGCTCAGACCCCTGCCTAGTCACGTCCCCCATGCTCTCAACCCTCTCATGTGCACCTCTCAGACTGTAAGCCTTCAAAGGGGCCAAGGTTTTCTTTGTCAGAGAGCTCGGTTGTTGAGGCATTTATGCCTGCCGCAGTTCCCAGCTGAATAAAATTACCACTTCCATCCCTATTCAGTGTTTGAGAGGTTTATTTGCGTCTGCTCCTGCTTCGGTAGGACTAGATTGCAGCTCCCACTTGGGATAGACAGAGCAGTGTGTGGAGACTCACATCATGAACTTTTGCTCCAAGAATTACCACAGAAACATATGAGGAAAGCAGAAAGAATACAAAGAAAATGTGAAAGAACTGGATCACCACTGCAGGCTCCCTGAGATGCTGAAAAACTGTGAGTCTGCTTGCTTTCACAGCAGGGAGGCTGGTGGTACAGGGCAAGTTCTCAGCCCC